GTAGCATATAAAAAAAAAAGAGTCCTGTGGCTCTATTCTGCCGTATGAGAAGTTGTCGAACAACATTTGGTGACATCATGGTCAATTCAACTCTCAATCGTAAATTGAAGTCAAACATCGACTAATTTGCAAGTCTGCTTGGTGACAGGGACAGTTAAATTTTTATAAAGTTGCCAGTTCCAGGCTAAAAAGTTTCCATATTTATTTAGTCAATAGGAAAGTATGATACAAACCGAAGAAGTTGCAAGTATTGTTGTTTAGTAATATGGTGGAGAAGCTAGTAATGGCAAGGCAGCTCAAAGTAACAATTAATTTTTTTGGATAAAGATAAGATATCTGGAAAATTATTATTATTATTATTTTTTTACCTCCATTCATTTACAGCAAAAGATATTGAAATACCATCAGCATTCAGTAAAATTATGATAGAATTTGTCCTCTAAAACTGCAGATAGAGAAAAGTAAAGATGGCTATTTGTGTGTGTTAAATAACTAAATAAACATCATCACTAAAACCCAATACAGCATTGGTTGTCTTGTAGTTTTATAATGTATGTAATCGAGCTAGATGACATATGGCATTGGTTGGCTTGTAGTAAATAACTAAATAATATAATTAGCAGTTTTAATAATGAATTAATTTATTATAGGAGGGTTAGTACAATTTTTTATATTAGGCCTATAGTCTATTACAGAAGTTTCCAACTTATTTTTATCGTGGAACCCTTTTTGTTTAATAAAAAATGTTGGAACCCTAGATATCAATAAATTAAATTAAAGCATACTAGGTAGCCATGCCACCTTACACAAAATCAGAACTATAACTATAAAACTACATTTTAAAATAAAATCAAAATCAATTGAAAATTAAAACAACTTTAATAATTAGTTTGATTTCAGTGTTTGTTTGTGTTGTGTGCTCTATTTCATCCAGGTAGAGTCTAGTCTATTTATAGCACTTTTTTTGTAGTGATGGCTTCCGTTTCGATTGGCGGTGACAGAACATTTTGCTTTATATACATACATATAGATATATGTATTATATTATATTTGTAGGCATTTTTATGCATGAAATACAGCTAAAAAGAAAAAAAATTGCTTTGTTTTGAGGTTCAGGAATGGATTAATCCATTTTATATTNTTTTTTTTGTTTGGATGTGCATTGCTGGATATATCTGTTGGTTACTAATAAAACAAATACAGTGGGTGATCGGTTAACGAACATAATCCGTTCCAAGACTTTGGTCGTTAACCTATTTATCTATTTACCATAGGTTTTTATGGGAATTTGATTAATTTGTTCTAGAGACCCCAAAAAATAAAAAATGTATATTACATATAAGTAAACGTAGTAAGAAAATAATAAAAAAACATATATACACAGTCTTGCATTTTTATTAGTCATGTTTTTTCTGTTTGTGGGGGGGGTTAAAGAACATGTCCAATGTCAATTTTGCTTTTTTTTCTCTTGAATATTTTTCAGAAGTAATTAATTGTAGAGATCCCCCAAGCCTATTAACCTCATTCTAAGACTGTCATTCTGATATCATCCCACCTCAAAAAAGTGTTTAATAGTGTAGTAGTGTCAGTGTGGCAACACTTCTCCCTACAGTAGTTAGTCTCTTGGACTGGCAGCACTGTTTCTTGCTGCATTTGAATTTGTAACAGTCGTGCGTTTCAGACACTAATAAAACCTTTTAAGATAACATCTTTGTCTTTTTACACTACAAATAGCCGCTATCGGCATTAATCCTCTTTTTCAAAAGAAAACGTATCTCGCCGAGTTCCTTGGTGTTCTTCTGTCGTCAGATCAGTTTCAGGTTCCATTATGAGCTCTTCAATGTTCTTTATTTCTCGGATGTGACTTTTTGTTACTCCTTAAGTTGCTTGAGTCTTCTTGATAATACTGTATGGTATCTTTCTTAGATAAGATTGAACTGCGGCCTACTGTAGACCTATTTGAGCCATACTACCCAGCAACAACAGACATTGGACATCTGCCAACTCTCTACCTGTGGTGATATAATCTCACCTTTCGAAAATAAATACCCACACAAAACTTAACGAATGCCTGCCCAACAGTCTCGTGAATACTATAAAAGAATTGTTTCTGTCAGAAAAATAAAAGGCTGGAATTACAATTGAGAGTTTCAAAGTTTGGAGGAATACTATCAGATCAGTATCTACCGGGTTGAGCATCAATGCTGTCTCCCACGCTCCAAAAAGTTTCAAATTGGTCTTCCCTTGTCTTCAGACAACAATCGGTATTCATTATTTTACGTCGCTGCTGCTTGTGTTTTGTTCTGAGGTGTTCGTTGTCCGAACGTAAAAATCTTTTGTGAAAGTGTTCATTATCCGATTTTGTTTGTTAACCGAACTGTTCGTTAACCGATCACCCACTGTATTTATGAACCCTAATAAAAATATAAATTTTTAAGATACCTTAGTTTAGAGTATTTTAAATTTACAAATTTGATTTATTCCTAAAAATCCGTGGAACATTTTCATTAGTTTAAGTTCAAATCCAGATAAAGAATTCACCATTCCATGGAAACTTCATTTTGTACTTTCAGTACAGAATGAAGAATATGTTAGTAGTTCTGACCAGAACTGTCTTGACGCTCTGTGGGGAAACCTTGCCTTGTAGTTCAGAGCCTGGAACATTTTCCTTTTTGGAACTGTTCCAATTGGAACTACCCACCTCTATTGGTTAGGTTAGTGAGTGGCCATGCGAGTTGTTCCTCACTATGTAATGGGAAGGTGAGAAGAGTCAAATGTCATGGATAATCACGTAATGTTCGGAAAGTTGCTTCTCACACTGCAGACTTTGGTACAGTGAAGTTTTAGCAAGATGACAGCATATCTATCCCATCATGAATTGTATCTTGCAATTAGATCTTACACAGCATACTAGAGCCCCTGTTCTATGTTACTATAACATTTGAAATAAATTACTGCAATAATTTTTCTTAAAAAATTGAACCCAAATCAAAGATTTAAATTATATTTTTTGGTCACAGTTGCCCTCATGTACAAAATACTGCATAGTCTGATGCTAACAGTATTTTGCTATTGGAAGTTTTCAATTTACAATTGCACATATGAGTGGTTTTCATGTGTTGAAAAGTTGTATTACAATAATTACAAAAGTTGTAATTATTTTAAATTACTTATTGTAATAAATCATTTAATGAAATTATTTTTTCATGAACTGAAATTTACTTGTCAAAAATAAAATATCTTGTATTTTCATGAATAACTTTAAGCTACTTATTATAAATAATCAGTTTCATTATAATGAAATTCTACATTTATTTATTTAAATAATAGTTTATTCTAAAATATTTCAAGTTAAGATCATGGAGTAAGATCTGATTTACTGAATTTATCACTCATGTAAATCATGAGTAAGCGATGATATAGCTTTTTGTATTATTATTTAAATTATGACAGAATGACCTTTACAATGTCATCTTTTTGCATGATTAATTGGACAATATCAGGGTGACACAACTACAATTAGCAATTATTTATTGCAACATTGTCACAATGCCGGACTGCAATTTTTAATCATATTTTTGATTTTAAAATACATGCTCTCCACCTCAAATTAGTAGCGATGATATAGCTTTTTGTATTATTATTTAAATTATGACAGAATGACCTTTACAATGTCATCTTTTTGCATGATTAATTGGACAATATCAGGGTGACACAACTACAATTAGCAATTATTTATTGCAACATTGTCACAATGCCGGACTGCAATTTTTAATCATATTTTTGATTTTAAAATACATGCTCTCCACCTCAAATTAGTAGCGATGATATAGCTTTTTGTATTATTATTTAAATTATGACAGAATGACCTTTACAATGTCATCTTTTTGCATGATTAATTGGACAATATCAGGGTGACACAACTACAATTAGCAATTATTTATTGCAACATTGTCACAATGCCGGACTGCAATTTTTAATCATATTTTTGATTTTAAAATACATGCTCTCCACCTCAAATTAGTAGCGATGATATAGCTTTTTGTATTATTATTTAAATTATGACAGAATGACCTTTACAATGTCATCTTTTTGCATGATTAATTGGACAATATCAGGGTGACACAACTACAATTAGCAATTATTTATTGCGACATTGTCACAATGCCGGACTGCAATTTTTAATCATATTTTTGATTTTAAAATATATGCTCTCCACCTCAAATTAGTAGTGGCTTGTCCCTGTACATCATACTTTTCCTTTAACAATAGAGTTGTGCCTGTCATCTATTAACTATTTTCAGGGGAAAAACTTAAGAATTGAAATAATGTGACTTCCAGTTTGCATTGGAAGTTTGTAAATAGTTAACTGGGGCTCCTGCTTCTAAGGCTTCCATATCTGGTCTCATCTTTCCTCTATCTAACTCCGTTCTCGAGATTAAGGAAAGACCGACAGTTGTAATTTATAGGTCTACAATTTTTTCAAATTGCAGTCCAATGAGAATATTATAGAATTAAACAAAGTTTACTTGACATTAACTTTGAACTCAGACTGAGTCCAGATTTACTTTTATATGGACAAAGTGCATCAAGTGTAAAGCAAGTTTCTCATGTTTCCTTAGTTTTAATTACTACTAGTTTAAACAAAGGAAACATGAGAAACTTATGTTTCCTTTGAGAAGATATAGACTTATGAGAAGATAAGAGTGACACACAAGCAAGTTTATAACTAAATTTTAATTGTTTTTTTGAAGATGATTTGGGTTATCTTTCATGAATAAGTTACCTCAGCTTTAGTTCAGTTTGATTTAGATCTAAGTAACACAAATACAAAGCAAGTTTGAATAATAATATATTGTATATTTCTGAAATGATTTATGAAATCAATCATGTTTTATTTTCCTATACGTGCAAATTAGCTGTAAGTGAAAATAAATGAATATTTGTTTAGATTAAAAAATTATTCCGTGTGTATGTGTACATTCTTATATAATTTGTAGGTATTAAAAGAAGAGAAATTGGCTGAAAATGCAGAAAAGATGGGTCAAATTCTTCGAAGTGAGTTATTAAAACTTCCAAATGACATAATTAAGATTGTTAGAGGAAAAGGCTTGTTGAATGCAATTGTAATAAGTGAAAGTATGTAATCATTCCGTATTTCATATAATTATTTAAAATAAGCTCCAATTTACTTATGTTTTCTTTTTACAGAATACGACGCTTGGGAACTATGTCTCAGACTTAAAGATAACGGACTTCTTGCCAAGCCGACTCACGGAGACAAAATCAGATTTGCCCCTCCGCTAATTATTTCCGAAGAAGAAATAAGAGAGTGTGCAGAAATAATCAAAAAGACCGTTCTTTCTTACAAATAATTTGATAAAAAATACTTGTGCAGCTATTTGTTGTTTACGTGTTCAAATTCTATACAGTAATAATAGAATTTATTTTTAAAGTCGTTTTATTTTGTAAATTAAAGTTTTTTTTTACTAAGTAACCATTTTATTTCTTATTTTAAAGTTCAAAATAATGCTGATTTGATCTCTTAAAAAAAGATTTAGCAATAAACATCAGTGCTATTTCTAATAAAATACAATACATGAACATTTGTTCAAGTAATTCTTTTGAATAAATGTTTAAGAAATGGTTTTAACAAAATTTGAATATCTGAAATATAATTATTTTTGGATGTGCCAAATATTTCATCTGTTATTAGTAATGCAATAGTATTACTTGTACAATTTATCTTATTGTTTGTGTGGTTGTTTAAGTATTCATAATTAGTGGATTAAGTTTGGATATTTTTATTGGTTGATTGTTAACTATTTTCATTGGGTACCGATTAGTTAACTGTTTTTATTGAGTTTGTTTCCCTTAAAAATGTCTTTATTTTTTTCACAAATATATAAGTTATATTGCATTCCTTTAACACAACATATTTTAAAATAATATAAGAAAGAAACTAATCTGAAAAAGTACAACTTTTTAAATACTTGTATTTTGAAAAAAAAATTTCAGATAAAGAAAACCAATGTAAAAGTTTTTTCTTTTTGTTTGTTTATGAATCATACAATTGTTGAATGGGCTTTAATAAAAGTTTTTATTATATATAATTCTTTGTATAATTCTATATTAAAAACTATTCTTGTTTTTTGAAATGGCACAATTCAAATCAATACACTGATTTGAATAGGCGTGACTTTCCAAATCCGATTCATCAGTTTAATAGTTTACAAACAGAAAAGCATTATAGAACGACTGTGTTTGTAAGTACTTCAGCCACAAAAGTAGGCTAAATCTTTGAACTGCAAAAACAATTTCTCAATAGCATGTGTGAAGAGCTTATCCGGTTTTCACTATAAATTCAGGTTTTCTACTGAAAAAACTGGAATTATATTTTGAATATCCAGAGTTTTGTTCCCACTGCTGCTCCGTAGATAGACTGCTTTCCTTGAGCTTAGTAACCGAATTGCATGGGAACTCGTATGATTAAATGGCATACGGTTCCTTTAACACGGCTTGTTTTAAGTTTCGTTGCACCACTGAAGACTTTTCATCCAGTTTATCGACGAACGCTCCCACGGACGAGGAATTTTTGGCATTTAAAAAAAAACTATTGGAATTCACCCACCCACTCTGTTATTAGAGGTGTTTCGAGACTTTCTCTTTATATAATAGATGTACATGAGCATCCGCAGAAAATTTCCCAGGAGGAGGCAAAGCTTGGAGATAAATTTTCATTTAATTTTTGATTTTTTTTTAGATAGATAATAGAATACAGTACTGTATCAAAGGTCAAGGATGTAAGGTTACACATATTCATCACTTTTATAATTATAATTTGTGGAATGTTATACTTGGTTCCAAGAGACTGCAAGTTCTCAGTCTGCCCCTATAGATATACATTTAATTAAACCCTTTTTTTATTTCCAAAACGAAATCGTCAGCTCAAGAAAACTTTGCCCTAATCATTTGCTTCACATATCCTGTTAACGCAACGAGGAAGACAAGTCGTGTGTCTTGGATTCGGATAGTCTACGTCAACTTTATATTCGAGCAGGCACTTAGCAGGCGTAGTTCTTTATTTTGTCTCCCAGATGACTGTTTCCCCATAGGCTCGTCCTCGTGTTATATATATAAGATTGTGTTATATGTACATATTTAAATCGTGTATATATATATGATTTAAATATGTACATATAAGCCCAAAACGTGTAGTAATACTCCTATCAACCGAATAAAGATGAAAAACCACCAAGTGTTTAAATAGCAGCATGGTTTTGTGTTTGAGAATCATATAATTATATTTTGTATTTGTTTAAGAACTTTGTAGTATTCTGTCAGAACTAGAAGTTGTAATTATCTGTTAAACTAATGACATCTGATTACAACCAGAAAGACTAAAAATGTTTATGGCAAATAAGTTTTCATTTGAAAGTTTTTGTGTTTTTTTTTGTATATTATGCGCAGCCTACACTTAAACTTAATACACTACAATAAACTATGGGCGATATATTTTAACTTATTCAACCAAGTTATTTCTAACTTTAGCTGATTCGAAATTATAAAGTATGCAATAAATAAGTTATCATTAAATCGGCTTTATCAGTGGCTGAATGGATAACAACACTGACCACTGATAGCCGTTTCTGGACAATTAGAAAACGTGCCTGTCTAATTGTGATACGAATTAAATTAAAATATAAAAAATGACAGTACAATTAACAATGTAGAAGACGATAGACTGTTCTCAAATCAAACAATTATTGTAATCGAATTGTGTAGAATTTGTTAGTTTTGAATTAACCTTGCTTAAAAAAAGTGTCTAACATTTTCTATAAAAATAGTGTCAAAACACACGTCAATTATAAAAGGCACGAGAAATAAAATTCATATTTACATAAGATGTGGATTTTCGAAGAGCTTATAAATGTGTCTCATTTTTGTTGACAACATTATGCTCTATTCAGTGGAAGAAAGTATTTCCACATTTCCTGATAGCAACTATCGCTCATTACAGCTCAAAGTTCCATTAATAAAGAAAGCAGCAGAACGTTGGCATGCCTCGAACGCAAACATTTTCGTAATATATTAACCAAAGTTTACTACATTACTCATAATAAATTTTACGAATTAATAAAATCATTACAACAAAATCATCCATACATAACGTAATACTATTTTGTATGTACTTTACGATTGTCACTTCTTTTTACTGTTGGTAGTACAGAGCAGCCAGCATCTAGGGTAAAAGCGTCCGTCGCTGAATAAGTGATATAAAATAGGCGTAGGAAGGCTTTAATGACGAGTGTGTAGTATATGTATACTGTATAAACCCCTAGATGAGANATCATTGTTATAAATTTATTAAATAAAAAATATATTAATATATTTTTTTAAACAAACTTAAGATCCAAAGGCTAGTAGTGAGTGTTTCGTTTTTTAACTAAATAATACATAGTTTGTGTAACATATATCATTATAGCAGTAAACATTAATTCTTATAATGCGACTATTGATTACAAGATGCATAGGTCACATGACCTGATCTGTTCACGCAATTAGATAATTTTAAACATTCGAGTAATTCGCATTTACCCCGAGTTTGCAACTATTTACGCTCTTTCTAGGCTGGTAGCCGCCCTCAGGCGTATATCAAGTGAATAGCCGTTTATGGGTGAGGGGACAACGCCCTGGGGCGTAATTTAATAGAAAATTTTGCTTTAATTCGCGTTATATTCGAGTTTTCCAGCAAAATTTAGCTTTGATTCGCTCTTCTGTACGTCGATTGACTTTGTTTAAGCCAGGAGTCGCCTAATTTTCGTTATGGTAGACCCCTACAACTTTTCGAAACCTCACATCGACCTCTCCAAAAAGTTAGATATCAAAATAGTAAAAGTTTTTTTTTTTTTTTTTGCTTATAACAATCTTTTAATTTTACGTTTTTTACACATGTTAATAATTTTTGAACTGACAATTAATGAGACGGATAAGCATGATAATCCTTACCAAGATTAGCAATATTCGTTCAAAAGTTGTTAGTTTGTCTTTTCATAGACCAACCAGTAATGTTATATCGACCCCTGGGGTTTGATATATACCACTTTGGCGACTCTAGGTTTAAGCCTGTAAGTCTTTACTTACACCCCTGGGCTATATATATTTAGGTAAATAATTTCCCTACAGTAAATCTTCGCAGCTAACTACACAGGTGGCTGACAACAATCAAAGGGAAAATCCTTATAAAGTTTTATTGGGTGTCTTCTCTCTTTGTTGACGTTACTTTAACTAATCAGACTTGTGAAAGGATAAAATTACCGCGAAAACCCGCCTCCAACCTTTGAAGTAGAATGTAAAAAATCGCGATAAATTAGCTTTTTAAATCGTTTTTAGCTCTAAATAACTAATTTAATTTAATGCACTTAGACATTATATGAGCTAATTCGACAATATTTAGGCGAGTAAATATGTTTTTAGAGCTAACTATCAATAAATATTCCCGGGAAGCTACACCTCCCTATAGTAAGTCATTGGAAGATGATCTTGCTGTTAATTGGCTTTAAAGTCTTTGTTTCTACGCCTATTACGCTCTAATTGGTAATTTATATTATGACTGATTTAACTTCCAACGAATGAGAGTTTTTGTCAGAACCATCTGGTCAGGATTTTCCCGCGAAGATAAAATCCACGTGATTGAAGTCATAATGTAAACAAACGATAAAAAATAGCTAAATTCTTTATTTTAGAGCGTAATTCTATTAGTTTCCATGTTATTTAACTGTAGGTAGACGAAGATTTTCATCAAAAGCTTCCAGCTGAAAAATTTCGCAGGAAACTCAATACTTCCGGATATTACGTAATCGCATGAAAAAAGTAACTAATCATTTATTATAGTGTATTAATATATAAAGCGTTGAAAATATATGTAGAAAGTGTCAAATATTCACTCTTATACAAGTATGTTGATAAACTTTGACCTAAAAATACCCGAGCCACTCCCCGGAAAGGACTTTACTCAAGAACTGTATGTATACGTGAGGTCAATATCCAATTTTCGCCGTTATGTAATAAGAAAATACGTAAACAATTGCTTGTAAAGTTGCGTTGTATAGTCGATTACTGCAATAGTCATCAAAATAATATAGAAATAATGTTTACTATAAGCATTCTTTAGAAAAAAAGTTGTCTTGACTCATTGAAAACCCAACATCCTTCCGCAAACCTCTATACTTTTTGTTGTTACTTTATAAAAGATAAATTAGAAGCAATTGGTTCTAAGATGATTTTTATAAACACCTTTATAAAATTGTGGTTGACTTATAGCTACAACCAACAGACTGCCGAAAATCTATCGGGCTAGTTTTATGCTACTTATTAGATAAATTACGTAATCAATTTGGTACTAGAGGTAAGCGTTAGGCGCCATCTCTTATTAATATTAATAATTATAAATAATTTTAATTAATTTAAATAATTTGGAACCGCTGGGANATTCTTTTTAAAAACTCTTCTCTACTCTCAAAATGAAGCCTTTTTTATTATAATTAAAAATATAAAATCATTTTTAACGTTTAACAGATGGTGCCCCACAGTTTTAACTTTAGAGTTAAGGTTTAAAACAATTTTTTTAAAGGAACTTACAATTCAATAAAATTACTCCTCTTGGGCTTATTTAAATTATCGGACTTCCTAATGGTTTCCTTAATTTCCTGCTTGAGTGCCAGGAAAGCTGAGACCTTCCCAGATTATTATTTTACTATTGCTATCAATGAAATACAGTACTATTTCTAAACCGTACAGTAATTACAATTGGTTTATTAGAATTTTATATCGAGTAATTATTTTTCTGTACTGTTAAGGGGAAATCAATAATCAGTCTATTTTACAACCTCCTAACAGATAAGTTACTGTATTGTATGTGTTTTCGTATTCCATCACTCAAAACACTTGTGCAGTGAATGAAATAAACCATTTTTAATTGAAAGTCTTTTTGAGTAATGGAGTATCAAATTTTCTTCTCTTCGTCTACATTAAACTTTACATCTCTTACGTTAAGTTTGACCTGTCGCAAAACGAATGTAGTTTAAAAATTAGATATTATGCCAATTCCATCAGCTCACCCACCAGTTATCCATTTCCAGATCATGATCGTTATGCAAAATAACGAACTAGTTCACTTTTGGGCTCAATAGTTTAAAGATAAAATAGAATTATTTTTCATCATCATATAACTACGTCTTAATAAGTACATCCTGAAGCATTTGGAAATGTAACTATTACACAAAGCCCACAATTATTTGTTATTATTGACCAGCAGATGAGCAAGAATAAATTAATATCTCTAATATTAAAGCAATACCAATAAATAATATTTTAAAAGAATTAAATGTTTTGAATTAAAATGTAATTAGTTTGGGAATAACTAAAGCAGACTCCATACATTTGGTATCTGCCAATTGCCAAAATAATTACCAATTCGTCCTCTTTGATTTGGCACAATATACCAACAAGGTGTGGGAAACAGCAAAACTCAGATTATTAGTCACGAGTAAATTATCTATACTATTGATACTTGGAATTGAAAATTAAAACATTTACATGTTATGATAATGAATTGAAAACATTATTCAATGCTTCTAAATCATCTTTTATTAAAATAAAATTTAAAAAGAAAATAAAATGTTTACGAAATTAAAATAAAAAGTTGAGAAATACGTGCAGAGGAATCTCGGAATCAATTATCAAATTTGGGTACAAATGACAGAACAACTGATTCCTTTGATCCTAACGTCACATCTTTTAGTTTTATCTTCGAATGACCAGATTCTGCCAAACGTCCAGTCAGATTTTTACTCCTAACTTCGACATTTGCAGAATCTGGTAGATTTTCGTGACTATTAGTAAAATCTATAGTGGAAGAATTATTTCCCATATTGATTACTATTAAATAGCCAGGCGATCCTTTCCTTATTCTTAACATACAGAACATATTTGGTTTTTCTGACAGATAGTACACTTTACCAAACCTAATCGCAGGCTGAGATCGCAGTTTTACTAATTCACGGAAGACATTAAGATGAGATCGAGAAGTTTGTAATTCATTCTGAAAAAAAAAAGTAACGTGTTTTACATTATATACAAAATATCTCATTAGATTAAAAACATTTAGCTTAAAAAACAATTTTTAACATCTTTGCAAGCAATACCTCTACATTAACTGTTTCAAAATCGTCTTGTATTGGTAGCCAAAGATTTGTGGAATTACTAAAACCAGCTGAGGTGCTATTATTCCACTGCATGGGTGTGCGACAAACATCACGTGGCTTATCCTAAATTTAAAAAAAGTTAAATGACAAAAATATTTAAACAATTTTACAGATGTAAGTTTTCAAAACATACTGGATTTGCAACATCCTTCACTTCTGTGGGCAATATTCTGGCATTTAACATTCCCAATTCATCTCCATAATAAATTATTGGTGTCCCACGATTTAGTAATGTTGCCATGAAGATTCCATCTAAAACTTCCTCTCCTACTCTACTTGCCAAACGGTCAACATCGTGATTTCCAAGCTACACAAAATTAATCAATTTAAATCTAGTAATATACATTATTTTAAAGTTAATATAAAATATATTTACCACCCAATTTGGCCATGCCCAATCTGGCAAAGATGAAGTCCAATACTCAAGATGCTCAAGTAAATCTTTAGCTGTTGACTCTTTAGTCAATTCTAACAATTTAAAGTTGAAAGGAATATTTGATAAAGGCGCATCTTCTTTTCCATAATACAATAGCGTGTTATTAAGTGTATCATAAGCTTCAGTCATCAATATTCTAACACAAAGAAAATTGAACTTAATCTTTGGTTTCTTTAAAATTAAAATTATATAATACATAAATTGAATCTTTATTACTTTTTACTTCCTGTACTGTGTGTGTAATTATCCAAGATTTCCCTCCATTCTGCAAGGATAGTAAATATCTCAGGCTGACTTTTTGTATAAATATGGTCCAAATAGTCATATTTGTCCTAAAGAATAAATTTCATATTCAATTTATGAGTAAATAAATTACTATTAAGAAGTTAATAATGATATTGTGTATTACATAAGTAATTAACAATTAAAAAGATTAATTTTCATATATTACTTTTGAAACTGTGGCATTTTCATTAACTGGTTCATCCAGCAGTTCTTCACTTTCAAAAAGATGAGGTATAGCATCAATCCTGAAACCATCTATTCCTTTGTCTAACCAAAATTTCAATACTTGCTATAAAAATGAAAAAGTTTGGTTTTATATTTTCATCTTCAATTTGTTTTTTTTAGTTATTAAAAACTTGCCTCTAGTTCTGCTTTAACTAAGGGATTACGAAGATTTAAATCTGGCTGATGTTCTGAAAACTGATGAAAATAATATTGACCTCGTTCCTCGTTGAAAGTCCAAGCTGAACCACCAAAAACACTAAGCTACAGATATAATAAATAAATTATTGCTAGCTAATACTTCATAAATAATTTTTAAATCATTTATTTACCCAATTATTAGGTGGACCACTAGTTCTGTTACCAGCCCAAATATAATAATCTTTATATACAGAATTTCCTTTAACACTTTCCTTAAACCATGGATGTTGATCACTTGAATGATTTGGTATAAAATCCATAATGACTTTCATATCTAAAATTCATAAAAAATATTGTTTAATATAGTTGAATTTAAACAATCTGTAATAGAAATGAAACACTATATATAATACTATGCATGAAAAACATGATTTTAATGATAACCAACATCTTAAATTTGAAAAAAAAAATTATGCCAAAATTCCAATATTTAAGATACATTAAAAATTTAGTTTGCTTCAAATAAAAAATTAATTTAATGTGTGACTTTTTACATTAAAAAGAAAATTTAAGTTAAATTATGCTTGAATAATTTGTAAAGTAACATCATCTCAATCAGATGAGCTAGTTTTAGTGTGCATAATCAAGAAATGTTAAAATCAAAAAAAAAAAACACTATTTAAACAAACAAAAGTTATAGATTTTACTTAAAATTTGTAACAAACAAGAACTTTTCAAAAATTATAATCTATCATTTTCTTAAAGGCAAATTACAGAAAAGCACATGAAAAATATTGATAAAATATATTTCCTAGTAAATTTTAGATTTACTAGGAAATATATTTTATCAATATTTTGCATTTGCTTTTGAAAAACTTCCTATTTTTAAGAAACTAAATTTCTTAAAAATAGGAAGTTTTTCAATGAATATAAATATTAAAATAATTTTAAAATTTCAAATATTGGAAAATTTCACTTAAAACAAATAGTTCTATTTTAAAAAGTTCTAATTTTAAAAACATTCTGGCAACATTTTACAAGGTTAACTGTTGAAATACTTGGATAAAGTTATTCCCAATTTAACCAAAATTCTTAAAAAGGTTGGTAAAGCTTTTATTATATCATCCTTAATTTGAAATTTTCAAAATCTAACATTGCTTATTAAAATATTGCCACATGTTATAAAAATCAAATCATACAAGGTATTGCAAGAGTTTGTAGGATCTGATCTTTTATAATAAACTCTAAATTCAAAACTATCTATCTATCCAATAATGATCTGAGTTAGTGTTCCCAAACTTTTTCTGCATATTGCCTTTTTGTTCAAAAAACTGATTCTCAGCATCCCTACTCAAATCTTCAGAAGTTTTTAAAACATCAGGTTTTAGGACTCATACTACAGAAAACAAATTCAAAACAATAATAATTAACTGCATACTCCATATTTAAGTAAAAAAAAAAAAAGCTTTTGAATGGTGAACTTAATCTGTGATAATCAGTTCAAAAAATTCTATTTATGAAGAATCTTTAACAGAAATTTAGTACTTCATTATTAGTAAATAATTAATGCAAAGAAATAGACAATACATTTTTCAATCCCTCATCTAAAATCAATCAATCTTTAGCTGAATGTAGTGATCAATTTCTGTGCGCAAGAAAAATTGGATGACCACACTAAAAATACATTCTATCAAACAGTTACAGAAAACACATTAAATCAAATCCTTAATTAACATGCTTTCAGTTAACATGTTTTTGTTTTAATGTGGTTTTAATTATAAATGATCAATTTTTCTGTACATATCACTTTTTTTGGTATAATACAGTTCTGGAGAAGGTCACTATTAAGCTTTCTATAAAAGCTCTATCATCTTTCACTATTTTTAAAGAATGTACTGTACCTTGTAATACACAATTGAGAAAAGTGTGTACAACATTTAATTATTTAAAAACTTTTTATATTTCTAACTATTATAAACAGCAAAAAACTTAATTTTGAGGGTAGGAATGGGTTTAATAAAAAAAATTGTAAATGCTAATAATGAGTAAAATTGTCATTATGTTCAACCCTATTGGAGATAAACATGATCCCCTTTATCATTCCCTCAATCTTTAATCACCAAAATTTAATAGCATTAATTCACCTAATAAACAAACCTCCCTGAAAAATTTTATAAATTGTTGACAAAAGACACAGGAGTTATTAAGCTTAAAACAGGGTGAGCAGAATCTTGTCCACCTCCACACACACACTAATATCTATACATACAGGAAAAAAACACCTCCAAATTATTTTTGCCTTTCTCAATGTTTCAAAGTGTCCTGAGCCAAAAATGTAAAAATCTTGGGGTCCATTTTTTGTCCCATCACCATACTTTTCCTCTTACATATAACAAAGAGAAAGTATGGCAATCAGTCAATAAATGTAATTAGATAGTTGTGTGAACCAATAAATAGAAACAAAAGTGACAGAAAAAAATCTATCATTTATGACCTAATTGTATTCTAATTTTTAGACTCTGAATGTTGTTAATTTTCTGATAGTGTGTGGATTTAATCTATATAACCTAAAATTTCAATATAATTTTCTAAAAAAATGTAAAAACAATCAATTAGTTGTAAATTGCTAGTGTCAGTTTTAAATGAAAATTAAAGAACACCAAACTTACATGTTATTATATATATCTAAAATGCATAAAAAAATTTACTTTATACATATGTATATAAAAAAATGTAAAACAACAAACATACATGTATAAGCACAATAATGTATTAGAAATGTAATAAAGCATTTAAAATTAATTTTTTTTTCTATTTATAGTTTAGCAACAATTTATAACAGTAATTAAATATTTAAGTTTTAATTAAAAGAAATACCTTTCTTTTTTAATTTAGACATCAGCATTTCAAAATCTTCCATAGTTCCAAATTTTGGTTCTATATCTGTGTAATTACTTATATCATATCCATTATCTTTCATAGGAGACTGATATATTGGACTTAAAAGTAAAGAATCAACATCAAGTTTGTCAAAATAGTCCAATTTCGATGTTAAACCTGAAAATTTTTTATACATATCATTAATAGAACAAATCAATAAATTATAAAACAAACAAAAATATTTGTTTAACATAATTTAAGAATGTAAAAATAAAAAACAATTTATGTAAATAATTTTACAACATATTTAATGTATGATCTTACATATCTATGTTTATGTAATAATTCCTACATTATACTAATTAAAGATTAATTCAAATTAAAAGCATTTTGCATTTGAAACAAACAAAAAAAAAACAAAACCCAACTCATTTTAAAAACAATTAAAAAAAAAAACATTCTTACAGCTAAATCTTATTGAAAACAGATAAAACATCAGGTTACATAACAAATCAAAATGAACTTAATTCTATAAACGTGATAAACATATCTAAATCAGTTATCAACAATAAGATTAACATGCATTCTCAGTCCTTAGGGTGTGCACGCTGATGTCCAACTGTGCGTTCTCCACATGGATTAGCTCCGCCAATCTAAGATATGCTAAGCAAGCATATCTTAGATTGCTTGCTTAGCATATCTTAGATTGATATATTTTCAACATTTCAGTGATAGATTAATCACGTGTCGACAGCTGTACATATATATTTAATAACTCAAATGATCATCTCACTGCTGTCCGTTCACACAAAAGCCACTATCTTTGCCGTTCAACAGTTTTGATGATGGGCCTTGTCATCAAAACTGTTGCATGAAACAATTCACACATTCTTCAGGCTGGCAGTCAACAGTTGTAACTGCTACAGCTGATACATCACCTCAGTTCCAACAGCATGAATTTCTCACCAAGTAGTACAGCTTCTCAAGACTCTATTAAGTCAGATTTATTTTTATGCAATAATAAATCTTTGAAAACAAAGAACATGCTTTTTACTTACCTCTATGTAAGAGGTTGACATTTTTAGCTGACATAATTTCTCTCATTCATTTTACTCCTTTATAAAGAATCTTTGAAGTTAACCAAAAAAATAAAATGCTACTTTGAACATCCAAAAGTAGTTAACAAAATTGTGCATTACGATTCCTCATTTCTTTATGTAACACATGAAACTAGCTTTTATTTTGTCAACTTTCTATAATAGGATAAACCAAATGAATCCTGTTTCTGCTAGTGTGGTAGAGTTCATAAACAAATAGACCGACTCTGGCAAATTTAAAATATGCATGCTGACATTTCCCTTTTCTAAAATGTCACACTAAGATTTGTTTCATAAGAAAGATACCACTAGATATTTGAATATTTTTATCTAAAATTTCTCTATAAAAAAGTTGTACTAAAATTTATGATGAGAATCAAAAAATGGATGTAATAAATATACCTTGGAAAACACTTGAGTACATAAAAAAAACCATACAACTTAATCAGACAAACGAGTTCCCCTTTTATTAGTTAAAGATCAAAAATTGATTTAAATGTAGTCTTTTTGGAAAAAAAAAATTATATACAACAAAATGCAAAAAATAACGATTCACGAGTTACAATAAATTGGCAGACAAAATAGTTTCTTCCACTCTGTTTACTACAGAAATAGTTTATTTCCTACAAATGGTGGATGCAAGTATCTTCATTTAGATCAGTGTTTCTCAACCTCTAACGAATCAGTGCCCCCTTCAATAAAACCATTACGTAGTATCGCCCCCTTCGCTACAAAATTCCGATGCCGAGGGACAAGGCTAACGCCAAGTTTGTACTGCACTGAGTTCGACTAGTCACTAGTATAATGTTATTTGTTTAATTATTGTATGATATAACGAATAAAATATCTAATTATTCTTAATATAATGTTTTACTATATTGCCCAGAAAATTGTTTTTTGCTCCCAAAATATAAATTGTTACTAATCACCCCCTCAACATGGAAAAACGCCCACATGGTGGCGATATCGTCCCCGTTGAGAAACACTGATTTAGATTAATAAAAAGCTATTTTCTGAAAATATCAAGCACATTGCATGCAATATGCATAAAATTTTGGTGTAAAATGGCCCTTATAGATAAATTTAGATATCAAAAAAGATATTCATCAAAGCATGTTTTCTAAGAAACTTCTTTCAATACTAATCAAAAGTTTTTTTTCACATTTCACCAACAGTAAAATTCAAGGTCAGAGAGTCACCAGTCAGAAGAATTGTACCTACTCCGACTCCACCCCAAAACATTCAACTCTTCAATACTGGTTTCTACATCATGTAATAACAGGAAGTATCACTTCCTCTTCAAAATCTATTTTTATATCGATAATTAATCAATCAACCGAATCCAAATTAATGAGATCAGATTCGGGTCACCCAAAATCATTGACGACGGTCTGCTTTCCATGACAGATGAGCATCACTGGACATCAGAGTGAACAACCATTACATGTCCATGTGAGTTTAGCAACATCAATGATAACTTGCCATCAGTTTAGTGTAATAACTTTTAAAAAAGTTATAAGTTTAAATCACTATAAAACAACATCCTTCAAAACAAAAATATATTTATCATATTACTTTAAAGGATATCAATTCTTAATAAATTAATAATTATATTTAAGAGAAAAGTTTATCCCTTAAATATAATTAAATTCTAGTAGTATCTTTCCTTATTTTTTGCGTTTAAAATTTTCTAAAAAGAGCAATTTTAAACACAAGCATTGTTATTGCTCTTTCCAGATAATCTTTTGTTATAATTTAAAACCAACAAATTTTAATCAATCATACAAAAGTGAAAATACCAAACACCATCAGAAGTCTAACTAAAATAAATTGATCAATTAGTAGTAGTAGTCACAGAATTCAAAGGAAATCTAACTTTATCACTTGCAACCAGAATTACTACAAAAAAACTAACAATAAATTTAAGTTTTTTTTATATTAAATGCTGGGTGCTTGCAAGTAATATTTTGACACGAAGACGGCATGTCACATTGACGCTGCATCTCCTCATCAAAATATCACTCGCACACACCAACATTAAACATTTGCAAGCCTATCTTTTTCAATTTAAAATTACAACTGAAAACAATATAATCAATTAGGCTTTCACAAAAAAATGTTAGGAACTAAAAAATTAATCATCAAATTAGGCTGAAAACGGCTTAAGAATTTTTGAATAAAGAATCACCAATTTTGGTGTCAACCCTGTAATATCAAATTTCTTCCCCCCTTTGGTTGTTCCCAAGGACTACTACTTGCAATTGGTATTTGCCGATAAGTAAGAAACAAGTAGAACATTCAAGGAAAAAATGTAACCTGAACGGAAAGGTCATCAACTTCAGAGAAAGACTAAGGAGAGGACTTTGAAACTAAGATGATGTAATACTAGTAGAGATTGCTAAACTACAAGATTACATATAAATCTTTTACACACAGTGCTCTAATTTTATAATAAATGTAACAGTAGATCAAACATAAAAATTTGATAATTTAGTTGTAATTTGAATCCCAATAATTAATTATGCACCATTTTAAAACAATCATCCCACTGATATATAAAAAACCTGTAATCTTATACATAATGCAACTAATTTTTTGCTCCAAATTATGTATCAGATTACAAATTTTGCCCCATATTATGTATAAACATAATACACACATTATATACATATATATTGATTTAGACTGCATATAGAAATTAAGTAGTTACCCTTGAGATCTCCCATTCCATCGCCGTCTCCATCTTTAAACGAAGGAACGTAGACGTGATAGAAAACGGATTTCTGCCACCATTCTAGTTGAGGTGGAGGAGCGCATCTGGGAGCCAAGACGATGATGACGATGGCCCCAATTAACATACCTAACCAGCAAACCCAGAAGAGGATAAAAAGAATCATTCTTGCACGGACCCAGGCGGGTTCGTTCGCATATTTCATTAATTCTTCCTTTCCCATTCCGACATTCAAATGGATATTCTCGATGTCGATCTTGGCGTCGCCATTTTTATCCGGGAAATCTTTGTTAACGTATTTTACCTTCGGAGTATCATTCGGAGTCAATTGTTCCTTAACTGCTTCTTCTTCGTTTAATTCGACATCCGTATCTCCCACCGAATTTATTTTATTCTTATCTTCTTCCATTTTATCTTCCTCGCAAGATTTCGCGTCCTATCTAATCTATGCCACGCAGCTAACTTCCTCTTTCTCGGCAGTCTCGCGGATGATGCAATGCTCTACGTGATTGGATCGTATCCAGCCGCATTGCGAGGCTACTGTACTACGCCGCAGCCATTATTATTTTTTAAAATAATATTTTAAGCAGTTTATGGCTTTAAAGTATTTTTGTAAGTTAAACTTTTTATAAGCAATAAATAAAATATTATATAAAAATTATACCTTGCATGAAAATATTATTTATTTTTTTTCTTTTCTAACTCGCGGATAACTGGACCCGTGGGTTTGGCAAAAGGTCTTTTTTCGTGCCCACCAAGTGTTCTTGCAGTGGATCACATCCACTGTAGGGCAATAGCAAAGAACGAGCCTCAACATATCCCCATGAATATTTCTGAGAATGATATCCTAATTCCTTGAACGCTCGGCCATCCGGCCGGCGACGTTTTTTAAAACTCTTTCTGCCCTGTGGGCACTAAGAGGACTTCTTTAAGCAAGCCCATTACGTGTTCGGCCAGGCCCACAATGGAGCCGATCGGATGGCGAACGACGAGAGGGCCCCACATACCCTAAATAGATCGCTGATAAAAATTCCTTAGATGATGGTTGCTTGGTTGGTTGATCCTGGATCTGCCGGATCGACAGGCAGAAACGTTAACAACCTCGGACATCTGGCCTGTTGTTCTCATTAGGGTTTCTCATTTCCCGGGAAATTTGCCTCCAGCGGGATTACGGGAAAAATAATTTCTTTTCCCGGGATCCCGGGAAATTCCGGGATGAGATAGTAAAATAGAATTTTATATGAATAAAAAAAATCATACAGGAATATTATAAATTTGAATAATTTAATTTATTTTCTAGTAAGTAACTAAAAGTGTAGGGCCAATCTCACCCATACGGACACGTTAGGCTCAATTAATTTATGTTCTCCTACATTATAAGATGAAAGTAAAATAAAGCGTTTCATTGGGAGTTTTAATGATTACGAAGAAAAATACTATTTTATTTCTAAAGATAAAATAAAAAATAAACTAAAGTGCGATGAGTGATATTTACTTTCAGCAAGTCTCCGCTGTTCAATGATGCGCAAACACAATACATAGATATTACACGAACTAACAAGTAGAGACTTGTAAAACATAGGTAATAATATGCAGCAAGAAACCTCAAAATTTCTCTCTTAGGTGAATCTTCAAGATGCAACTTTTCGTATAATAAATAATAGAAAGAAACCGACATGGTAAATTATTATTGAAATGCGAGATTTCCCGGGAAAATTAAATTTCCCGGGATTTTTCTCGTAGGAAATAAACGGCGAGAATCCCGGGAAAGAAACCCTAGTTCTCATGTTGCTCGCAATACACGTATAACAATTCATATATACGATTTAACTCGTTCTTTAAACAACAGGTGTTTATAAACATTGTAGTTTTTTTATCTAATCAAATGATTGATTTCGAAGTTACTCTTATTTTGATTTATTTGTGTATATCTTATCATCGTCACAGACAACGCGTATAACCTTTTTACGCAATATTACTGAATGGATTTTTAAAAGTTTGCTTATCATGTTAAATCTGCAATATTGAAGAATTAAATTTATGCAAGAATCGTAAAGTAATAATTACGTGGCATATTTTTATTATTCTTTGAAATTCTGTAAAAATTCCAAACTAATACATATACAGTATATATTTTAAAAAAGCAAGGAGATGCATTTACACAAACAAACAAAAATTAATTTATATATTGCAAAAAATTAGATAATGATCATAAATTATTGTTTAAAATATATTATGAATATTGTTCTCAATTAGTTATTAAATCCTATAAACAATTAGGACGGTGAGCAGAAGGGCACTTCTCCAGGGAGCCAAAATTCCAAAATTGTTACATGGGCAAACTAATAAATTTATAGAAAACTGTCACACATGAGTATGAACAGTTGTATTATAAAATGTAACATGCATTATATTAATAAAAAATGGTATTGTGTGATTTTTACTTTGTAACAAACTAAAGAAAGATTTATCCGAAAGGCGGAAAGTCGAGAGGTCACAGTGGCAGCCTACCACTACGGATGACCCGGGATCGAATACTGACGGATCGAAAAATCCCCAGAAATTTTTTGGGGGTGGTTCATTTAGTTATGTCAGACCCCATCCCTCACCATCTGGCCACCCCCCTTTCCTCTCTTAATGGGCTTGCATAAAGAGGCCCTCTTAGTACCTCCAGGGCAAAAAGAGTTTAAATATATACATACATATATATATATTAAGGCAGTTTAAATTATAATGTTTAGAAGTTAATTATAGATTCCGTAATTAACTTCTAAACATAAGATGCAGCAAATTAAGATTAATCGAATTCTACCATTTAATTTTTATTTGAAGTCGCATTGGCGTAATTTGAAATTGGTTCTCGAAAGCTTCACCATGTTACTAAAGCAAGAATACGAAGCGAAGAGACAATAAAAAAAAAAAAAAAAGCAAGCTTATGTTAAATTAACGCTTCGAAGTGCCAAACTTGTCTTCATCAAAGAAAAACTCCCAAGAAAAAATTTGACTTTCGTTTCGGGTGCCTTAATTTTTACTTGGCGCAATATTTTTTACATCTCGGATGTTTTTCTTTGAAAATCATTTTATTTATTTTTTACTAATTTCACTAACTTTTTCACTGCTTTTCTGTTGGTTACGAGTTATTTGTGACTATTTACTATTGATATAAGAACAAATTATGTTATATATCTATAATATAATTCGTTCTTAAATCAGTCAATAGAAAAACAATGAAAAAAAAATCCAGCAACGAGAGTTGCGTAACTTTCCCGTCTGTTATGTATACACAAGGAAAAGTATTGGAATCGTGTCAAATTTTATCCTCCGATTTTTTGCAGATCTTCGCGTTTTGACCTCCCGAATCTAAAATAAGAAAACAGCAAAAAATTTCCGTGGATATGTATGTATGCGTGCGTGCATGCATTGGCGTCTATTTCCTTTAATATTTCAGGATGGGGTAAAGATTAAGAAACAAAGGTTGGCACGGTAGCTTGTGTATAAGTGGAATGGACGCTATTAAATTTTGATAATAAAAGGTCGAGGAGATAGAGGGTGGTCACGTATCATATCTCGCGTGGTGTTGGGCTTAATGATTTTACTTGTTAGCATCTTTATAAATCTCTTCCCTACCCTCAAAATTAATTCCTTTGCTATTTTATAATAATTAAAAATATCTCGTTTTTATAACAAAATCTCATAATAGATGGCGCCACATTTAATTTTATTTATTATGATTAATAATTAAAAAGAGATCTCATAATAGTCGGGAAAGTTACGCAACTCGTTGCTAATTATTTTGATTTTTTTTTATTCAGGGAGTCTCAAACCGTGATTTGCAAAATCCTGGGAGGGTCAAATTTGACACAATTCCCATACTTTCCCTTGTTAGGTACAGTATACAAAACAGCCGGTAAAGTAAAAATAAAACAGAGATCATAATCTAACTGCAAATAACATTTATCGTGACATCATCACAATGCCAGGCTGTAATTTTTAATTTATTTCATTTAAAATATATTCTCTCCACCTCAATTTAGTACTATAATGTCTTGCCCCTGTACAATATATTATACTTTTCCATTAGCAGGTCATGCCAGTCATATAACTAACTCCGTTCAGGGGAAAAGTTTTGAATTGAAATAACGTGGCTTCCGGTTTGCATCGGAAGTTCATATACAGTATAGTTAATCAGGGCCTCCTGCCCCTATGCTTTCTATATCCGGTCTTCACTTTCGTGTATCTAACTCAGGTCTCGAAATTAAGGAAGGACAGATAGTACACGGATGACTGTGTCAATTTAGTCTACAATTTTCTCAAATTGCAGCCCAGCAAACTAAAAGTGGAAGAAAAAACTGCAAAATGTAATTAATAGGATTGTTCCAGTTTATTCGATTTTTGCTAATTAACAAATAAAAGTGGAATTCTTTAGGCCGATTAAGATGTAGTATGTTTCCTTATGTACTCAAAGTTTTCCAAGGTAAATTGGTTACATCTATTTTTTGATTCTCACCGTAAATTCTAGAACTTATAGAAAAAATATTGGATATTCCATGGTATCTTTCTTATAAAAAGGAATCATAGTGTCACATTTCAAAAAAGGGAGTGATCAGAGTCAGACTGTTTGTTTACAGACTCTGCCACAACTGATTTGAACAGACTTGGAGTAAAAATAATACAGAAATCTATTGTAAAAAAAGATTAATTATTGTAAATATTTTTCAGTGTTACTTGAATTTGACAGTAATTCTTGGATGTTTTTTAAAAGAGGATTTTTTTAAAGTCAAAATGGAGGACATCTCCAAAAGGAGGATATATTGTTAATTTGGATGTCATATTCCTTTTGAATATTTATTTGATAAATAATTAAAATAAAAACTATAGTTATTAGAAATAAAAATTATATTCTATTCCATGGAGGAATATACTTTTCAGTTATAAAATGATTTTTAAAGCACAAGCTAGTCTGTTCAATGTAACTTCATGTATGAAACAAAAAACAAAACAGCCACCTTGTGACTATGCTACAAAATGTATCTTTCCATGTTACCTGTCTCATCGGAGACTCAACAGCAGTGTCCTAAATAAAAATATCAACATACTTTAATTATTATAAATTTAGTCCCAAAGACAACTGCTAGCCAAGAGTGCTGCTTTTGTAAACTGTTTCTTATGGAAACATGCATGAAGTTATAGCAAACGTGCTGTAGTTCTCATCAGTTATAAAGAATAATACATATCTATTTATGATTTCAATCAAATACTTTAATTGAAAATGTAATATTACATAGAAAATGTGTGTAATAGTAATAATATAAAATATAACATTTATAAAATAGATATTTTGACAAATAATGACAAAGTGTTCTATTTTAATTAGAGTAGACAATAACATTACAGTATATATATTTCAGATCTATATTACCAGTGAAAGACAAAAATGTTTTTCTCAATAATAATATTTCTGTAATATTTTAAAAAATAGTTTTAAATGCAAATTAACTTAAGAGATTCAATGAATTACAATAAATCTGAAAATATATATATTACATAAAGGAAACAAAAGGAAAAATTTAATTTAGTTATTAAATTATGTGCATCTTGATTACAACAAAAATATTTTAAAAACTTAAAAATGGAATGTTATATGAAATTATCTTCGGACAAAACACAGATTCATAATAAGCATATCTTAATATTTTTTGTGGACGGATTTATCATTTACAAAATATTTATATGAAAAAATTCCGTACTTTATAGAAATTTTATGATCCAAGTGAAGATAATCATGCAACTTGAAATCAAAATATTTGACTGCAAATGACTTCCTGACAGCTGTAATAAAACATTATTAAATATATTTATATATATTTAATTAAAATCCATAAAAAATTTCAAGTATATAGCAATTGTTTTTCTTCTTAATGTAGTTTAAAATATAAATCAATATGTATAATTAGGTTAATTTTAAAATTTGTCAATACTGAATTAAAAACAAATCTGTTCTTAATGGTTCTTTTAACTGCTGCATAATATTTAAAAAATAATAATAATAAAATTTACAAAAATAATTTTTATTAACTATGCTTTTATGCAATGAAGAATTTTAGCTAAATATATAAATATAACAAACAAAAAGTGGGTAATTATAAATTTTTTAAGAATTGAATTTAATACCATAAACAGCACCACTTTATGATGATACTTAATAATATAATTTTAATACTTTTTCTGCAAAACTATAGATTTACTAATAGAATATAGAATTTTAATGTCTTTTTAAAAAAATAGATAAAATTTGACAAAAACAACTTTCATTAGCTTTTATATATTTATACAGTAAGTTCTCTTTTTACATGATGTATAGACAGTATGCATTCTGGAAAACTTGGACGATTTTACACTCAAATATATGTAATTTTAGAAAAGCATAGAAAAGCAGAAATGGTAAAAATGTCTATAATTAATATTTATTCTCTCATTATAAGGTATCTTTTAAACAATTACACAGTAAAATCTGACTAAAATAAACTGCAAGAAACTGAATCTTGCTTAAAGCAGAAAATTTTTTGTTCTAGTAATTTCCATATTGTATTAATACACAAATGTGCATCTATTTGCATCTATACAAGTTAGAATTTAATACAGAAACAGAACTGAATAAAATTTAATGATTCCATGGTTAAAGTTAATCTGTACAATGGAATATACTTAGTTCGGAGAGATGCTCTGCTAATCGTTATCATCATCCACATGATACAGATTAGTTAAAAGAAAATTCTTGGAAATATTGTGTAATTCAGTCGCATGTAGCATGAAAACATCCAGGTGATCCTTAAAAGTCATTTCAAAAAATGTCTTAAAAAGAATTTTTTTTGTCAAAATTGACAGCTTGCTGATAAGGCTGAAAAACAAGATGCACTTAGAGTTATAACACCAGTTGGATGACTAGAACAATACAGTAATAAAAATGTCTATCAAAAAGTCTTAATTGAATTCCACCAAGGTTTAATTTGAAATAAAACTTTTGGACTAACATTTTCAATCTACACATGGAGACTGAAAACAGTCCAAAAGTTTTATTTCTTATTGGGTTGTTCAGAAAGTAATTTAGTTTTTTTTTACCACTAGATGGATTAGTCATATTTTTGCCGCCATTTTTAATCTAAACTGTATTATCATTATATATTTTGACAGCTAGCATCTTAAGGCTTATTTGTAAAAAATTTTGTTTGATTCTGTGCAATTGTTTATTTTTTGTGTCTCATCAAATATGGAAGATCGAAAGCAGCATTTTCAGCATATTTTGCTCTTTTATTACTGAAAAGGTAAGAATGCTGTTCAAGTGAGAAAAAAATTGTGTGACGTGTATGGAAAAGATGTGAACGACAGTGCCAAAACAGTGACAGTTGACAGAACAACAGTGCCAAAACTGGTTTACAAAATTTCGTTCTGGCAATTTCAATATTAAAGATGCACCACGTTATGGATGGCCAGTTGAAGCCAATGAAAACAAAATAAAGATACCGATTGAAGCAAACTGCCGAATAACAACACATGAAATCACTAAGAGATTAAATTTGTCAAATTGAACTGTTTATGATTACTTGAAACAAATTGGTTTCGTTTCAAAGCTTGATATATGGGTTCCACATGTTCTTAAAGAGAGATACTCTCTTTGGTGGGATTTTAAGAAAATTTTTTTTTTGGAGCTTTTATCAGACAATTTAACAATTGATTTGAAAGTACTGCCATCAAGTAAACAAATTGAGTAATATCATCAAACAGAAAAGGAGGCCAGAATTGATCAACAAAACAGGTGTAGTGTTTTACCACAATAATGTCAAATTTCACACAAGTTTGGTAACTCGTCAGAAACTGTTATAACTTAGATGGGATGTGCTATCACACCAACCGTATTCGCCAGATCGAGCACACTCAGATTATTACTTGTTCCGGTCTATACAAATTTTTTTAACTGTAAGACATTTACTTGAAATCACAATGTCAAAAATTACTTGGATCAGTTTTTTGTAAGCAACGATCAAAACTTTTAGGAATGTGAAATCATGCTACTACCAGAAACGATGACAACAGGTATTTGACCAAAATGGCCGATATATAATTGAATAAAATATTAATTTATTATAAAAATATTGTGTTTTTCCCACAGAAAAAAATAAAATTACTTTCCAAACAACCCAATAAATCTCCAAATTTCATTTCTGCTAACTTCATTCAGTCCAGATGCTGAGGCCACCTTAATGTTATCATTAATAGCTGTGATAGTTGTATTATAGACAATGGAATCTCCATATTTATTACAAAACTGAAGTTATATCATCATCCACACAATGTTAATAAATATAGAAGAACAAATAGTTCACTGAGTTCAGCATTATAAGTACTTTTTATCACAAGTACTTTCAACAAATTTATAATTGTCGTCATCGGGCGAATTAATATTTTAAAATAACATACAGAATATTCTGAAAAGAATATTAGAACACATATTTTCAAATTAAAATAATTGATAAAACTGTTAAGAACAAACATTTAATTTTCAAACGTGTTCAAGTTGTATGTGCAATGTAATACATATGTTGCAAAGCAGCGCATGCGTGGATGTATGCCCACGTTAGTAACGTGATAGCAGATGTGGATTGTTGTTTAATCACTTATACAGCATGACCCATACACTGGACAGGTTGAGATTGGGGGCGTTGCATGCCTCTAAGGTTGCCACGAGAATGGCCTCCCATATAAAGACAGTTTTCAATTTTTGCAGCATTTGAGCATTGTAGCTTGGGTCCATAGCAGGTCATAATCCTGTTCGAGCACCTTTTTTGTAAGCTCTGTGGTGTGCCTCTCTTCACTACATCATCTTGGTGTTCTGCTAGTCGGCTGGCAAGCATTCTTGTCGTGGCCCCTATGTACTTTATATTTGCTCCCATTGTGAGGTTTTCCTGCAGTACAGCATAGACCTCCAAGAGCATAATCTTCTCCTACCCATCCCCACTACCAAATGTATGCAGGCTCATCTGCAATGATCGGGATAAATTCTCTACTTTAGAAAAATCAGGAGTTACTAACGTGTCATGTTACTAATGTGGGCATACATCCATGCATGCGCCGCTTCGCAACATATGTATTACATCGCACATACAACTTCGAACACGTTTGAAAATTAAATGTTTGTTTTTAATGGCTTTACCAATTATTTCAATTTGAAAATATGTGTTCTAATATTCTGTATGTTATTTTAAAATATTTATTCGCCTGACGACGACAATTATAAATTTGTTGAAAGTACTTGCGATAAAAAGTACTTATAACGCCAAACTCAGTGAACTATCTGTTCTTCTATACAATATTTGGTGTGAGTAGCAATCTATAGTACATTAATGAATATAACATTTCATTCTAAGCAGTCTTGATATTCTCATAGAAGATAATTTGCAGCATATAACTTTGAAATTATGTAAAGAGAGAATTTTCTGTGTATGAAACTATTTACATATTCCACAAAATTACTTCAATACTAATTTTGTAATTAATTCAAAAATACTCTTTTTCATGTTCTAAATTTAGATAAGTCAACTGGCCTAGAATCTTAACATATTTATAGACAGCATGTGTAGATATAAATGAAAAGCAATACTCAGATTACAAGCATAAAAGTAAAAGCAGATTAATAGCAAGAAGCATAAAAGTGAAAAACCTTTTCAAATTCATGTTAATTTCTCCTATAAACTTTGTTTCAACTATCTTGTTATGGTTCTAACTAATGCTAATAAAAACACGAATTCTCTCTTTAGTCATTGTTTATTTTTCTTAATCTTTTCACAAAAAAACAAATTTTAGCTCTACAAACATGAAAAATGATTGCAAATACAGAACTGTAAATGTGTGAAGTCCATAAATGGGAAATGTGTTAATATGGAGTTTTCTACTGGATTATTTTTACTTTAAAAGCATTGTTCAGTAAGATTTATATTTTAAAAAAAGGCAATTTTAACATTTATTAATAGTATACTTACAGTAACATAGTAATTACATCTATTGCCATGGCAGCATTCTGCACATTCCCAATCATTATACCAGATCCTGTCACAAAGAGAACTCTTTGATTTAATTATATCTGCACATGACTTATTGTTTGCACATGATTTAGAAATGTAAAATTGTTTCTCTCCACTAGGAGCCCAATATGGAGTACCTGAAAAATGTTTACATTAAGATGTTATACTTCATAAATCATAAATAATGCTTTTTATTTCAGAAATTTTATTAAACAATATAAGATTTTATTTATTATGCCGGTTTATATTTGAACAAACTGTATTTAAATTTACTCACTTCCCCATTTAATTTCTGTTAAACATCTATCTTGTCCAACATCACAAGTTCTAATTGTTTTAATGCATTTATCATAATTAGTGTCTTGATCTTCACAAACATAGCATTCAAGTGAATATGCTAAAAAACAAAAAAATATTATATAATTTAAAATTAATCTTATTTTTAGTGCATTTTTAACAAAATGATTTTCAAATTGCTGAAAATAAAATTAAACTTTACATTATAGTTTGAATTATTTTACAAAACTTCTCTTGAATAATAGTTTCATAATATAGTAGAATCTACTTATTCTAATCACTTTTGGCTCAGTTGTAGTGATGATGATAACCAACCAACAACATTAATAACAACATTAAATCATTACTAATTAGTAAAAATTTTGACATTTAATGTTACAACTAAAGACTATATGAGTTGAAGATTTATTAATTATTATTATTATTAATTAATAGTAACTCAACCAACATTTACTGAAGAAAGCAATGCCAGCAATTTATACTATTGTACTATGAGCAAATAATGACTAAAGTGATTAATGTTTTAAGCACTCTAGTTTGTTGCTGTGTCCTATAGTCTCTTTTGTATCTTCTGTACATGGATGAGTTATTAATGTTGTTTGTCCTACAGGAGGTTCACCAACTTGTGGGTAAGTTCTGAAAAGTCAAGAAATTCAGACAAAGAAGGTCTGGTAGATCCAGCCCAGAAACAAGAACTTAAACAGCTAAATTATGTCATTAAAATATTTTATCAAATGTCATCATTATACTGTTCTGTCAAAATATTTTGTTTTGGAATCTTCAGAGTTTCAATCTTTATCTACATCAGACCTTAATGTAGCTACCATTAAGGATAGAATTTGAAAGCATTATTTGTAAATAAATGCACATGCTTTTATTTAGTTTCTACTAAATAAAAGCATGTGCATTTATTTAGTAGAAACACCAAAAAAGCAGATATTTAATTCATTTTTAAGTTTGAATTTAAAACATATAAAATTTGTAACTTATATAAAGTTTTAATGGTTCTTGCAAAGAACTCCTAAAAGAGAACTGCCATGTTTGTATGTGATGATGTTAAACTAGAAGAAAGAAGCATATCTGATCTAGTTTAAGAAATAGTCCATATGGGTTGTCATTCAAAAAGGCATTTACATTCAGCTTTGTTTTCCAATGCACAAGCAGGTTGTCAACATATCTCTTACAGACAATAATCTTTGGTATGAATACAAATAGGACTTTTTCTTCAAATTGACTAATGATTATCCTGTACATTGATTGGAAGAAAAAGTCATACCAATACTCATACTGAAGATTATTGTATGTAATAGATATGTTAACAATTTGCTTTTACATTGGTAAATACAGTTTTTGAATTTAATTTTTATGAAATTGCATCTATGTATTTATAAGTCCATTTTTAAGTCAATCCCCTGAAAACTATATTAATATGTACAATGACAATCAAGGAAAATCATGCTTTATTATTTAATTTAGACACTTATATTTCTTTTTAATATAAAAAAAAAACAAATTTTTACATAAAGACTATAATGAGCAATTTGTTAATAAAAATTAATTTTTTTTATTTTTCAACATAAAACAAAATTACTGCTTTACGATCAAAATACTCAATGTTGCTCTGGATAAAAAATTACCACTTTTAATACCATAATAATTTAACATCTGTCCTTATTACTGTACTTTTTTACCAAGGCAATGCTGGTCTTCCAGTTAATAAATGGAATATTTTTTACATAAAAAAAACTATTGTTCTGACAGTTTTTTAGTTTTTAATCCTTTCCATTCCATGTGTATTAAAAGTTAAGATCTCTACAGATATTGTTTGGTTTAAAATAAATTTCACTTAAATTTATTGTATAATTTTTAGTTTTTGTATCTTGATATGATTGTTTAAAAAGTTTTATAATTCATAAATGATATATTCATCAACAAAATGTTTAAAAATATAACATAAAAAAATCAATGTTGTCATTAATATGTTTAACTTTTTTGCTATTCCATTTCATATCAATAAGACTATTAATTAATGTAGAACATGTAGTTAATCAATCTCTCTGAAATAAGCAATGTATATCTAATGATAATAGCTTTGCTTAATTATTAAGTATCTAATTTTACCAATTTACTTTATCAATATTGATCAGAAAATTTTAGTTTATTATACAGTTTATCATGCTGATTAATGTGATATAAGCTTACAACTAATGATGATTAACACTGATTAGACTTAATTAAAGTAAATTATATACTAAGCAATAAACAGCATTGTCATAAAATCACTGCATAAAATTCCTGCGTCTACCAATTATAGAATATTTTAATGACAAATTCAGCATAAGATGAATTGAGCATGAATCTTGATATGGATTTCTTGAAGTCCAGACTTGTGAAGTAATATACCTTTTGCAATAGATAAGAATGAAAGAAATGTTCTTACATTTTCAACCCAGTCACAATTGACCATATTCAGGCAGGAACAAATGTAAGAAACTCCAAATCTTCACAACTAAAGATGGCCTCCAAGTTGAAAATGATAATGTTTCTTCAACCTCACCCATTCTTAAAGGTATACTTCATTAAAATAACTATAAATAACTGTTACTTCATTAAAATAACTATAGTGGCTAGTTGACTTTATCCAGATATAAAAATAAATGATAATTTAATTTGGGGAACTGTGAATAGATGAATAGAAAACTTTCTCAGTTCCGCCCTCTAATAGCAGAAGACTTAAAAACAGCTATCAAAAAAACTGTTTTAATGATTTTCAATCATCAATATGGAAGATAATGTTCAAAAGAATAAGAGAAAAAATTTAAAATTTGAGGAGAGAATAGAGACAGTAAACAGATAACTTATATTTTGTATATAGATTTCATGACCACTCTAGGTTTGAAGAAATACTTATCTGTTAACTGATCTGTTAAAGATCTGCTTGTCACATTGCATCATTTCACATGTTGCATTCCAATGTCATGCTGTATTGTGTCACATACTGTAGCATTGCTTATGAAATGCTTATAAATTATGAAATTAGCCTACTTGGATTTTGCTACAAGGAATTTAAAAGGTGTAAACTAAAATCTAAGTAAAGATTATTTGTTTCTAAAATTTGGAAAATATTTTTTTATTTTCATATGTAATATCAGAATTGATTATTTTTAAGAAAATAGTTATATCACAATTAATCTACTGTTATCTGTTGGCATGCAAATTAGTCCATCAGTTTAGCATTTCAGGTTAGACATACTGTTGAAGAATCATTTAGATGAGAAATCATGAGTGTGATAAATTTCTTCACTATATTCAATTTGTATAAGAATGAAGATATTGCATTCAGCTTCTGCAGAAATATGATACTTTACTTTCCAAACATTTTTTCAAAAAAGGTAATAAAATGCCATTATGTGAAGCGTGTCAAAGTCAAATTGAAAAAAAACAAAGCCATATGTAAGTGTGTTTTTGTTGTGCAGATGGATGCACAGATGAAAGGTTAGTTTTTTCATATATTTTAGATTTGAGTTTTGTAGAGTTAAAGAATTATTGTTATTCTAAGTGAAGGAAATAAGTAGCATTCTTTTAAATTGTCATTTAAAGTAGTAATAAGTAAATGTTTTAATGTAACAAAATGTATGAAATTGTAAAATTTTAGGATATTCATTTTGTTTAAGATTTAATTTTTCTTTCTTTGAATATTGTACTTTATTGTAACAATATTGTATAGAGTATGATAGAGTACCAGAAACTCAACATTCTATGAAACTCATTTTGTCAATTAAAAAAATGTAATCTAATTTTTACATGTATAACTTAACAACTAAGATCAAGTAAGTTATTGTTCTTCTCTGGTGACATTTGATAATAACATCAATTTCACATATTAACAAAGGATACAACCCTTTTTTTTCACTGAAAAATACAACATGACTGTCACTAATTTGAAAATAGCCCTGAATAGCCAATATTTTTTAAAAGTGATAATTTAACTACAATTATAGTCACTGTTAGTATGTAGTTAATACACACATATAATACCTTTACAAAAATTCCGTTATATAGATTAGTATCATCTTTATGCCGTAAAACACGCCATTACCAGTAACTCATCACCTTCTCAGTCTGCATTCAATTGAGTTTGTGGGACTTTACCATACTTGTAATATTTTAGAAAAATTGTTTCAATCATTTATAAATAAATTTTGAATCTGAATTTTAGAATAGCATACTTTTTCGACTCCAATGAAAAACAAACTATTTGACAATATAATATTGGAATGTGCCACATGACCAGATATGAGGGTCTTTAATGGATAAATACCAAAATATTAGGCAAACAGGTATTTTAATATATATAAAAGCTTTATGTGACAAATGTAAAAGGACACAATTGCAGTTGAGAATGAACAAAACTGTTGGGACCTTAACAGAGATATAGAGCATGCCCATAGGAGCAAAAAGTCAAAGAAACCATATCTCTACATGTGACCCTTCACGAGATATAGCGCCCCAAAATCAGCCTACTTTCAGGGAGCAATCAGGAGTAACACTGTACACTCTGCTAAGACTATCTGATTTAACTATTCAGCCCAGGTGACTGTGCTGGCTTTGAGTAACCCGCTTGACTCTTCTTGGAGTGTACCAAGGAGTACATAATGTTATACAGTTTTAGAAGATTTGGAGGCTTACCCCATCCGGGCTGAGGAGCAAGCGATAACGAGCACATAGTTACATTGAAGGCACTGGTCCCATACCTTTAACACAACTTGCTTACCAAACATAATATCCACAAGCAAGACTGAGACCAACACTGCCCACCATTAAGGTTCCACATTTGGAGGAGAATGTCTCGAAAAGTTGTTCACATGTTGGATGTTTCTTAATTCTTTACCAATAAACGTCATTAGAATGTCCAATCACCACGCCAGGCTGTCTGTTAAACATGCAATAGGCTCAGCAGAGCATACAGCGCGACTCCCTTGTGTCTGGAAGTAGGCTGTTTTTAGTGGGCCATATCTACCAAAGGGTTACATATAGATATATGATTCCTTTGACTTTTTTGCTTCTACAGGCATACTCTACAGCTATGTTAAGGCTCTAACAGTGTCATTTCACATCTGCAATCTTAGTCAATTGGTAAATAATGTCATTTGTTTCCAGTTTCCTTAGAGTCAACGCAGGTCAGTTTTGTATCTGTGATAATTTTATTGTTGTATAAATATTTAAAAAGTGGATAATTCAACTGAAAATATATAAATAATTTGAACGAAAATCAAAAATAAAACTGGTATTTACCTGATGACATAAATCCGATAAATATTAAAACGTTTACAGCTATCATTGTTATTTAATTACTTATGGATTATACAATAAAAAAAAATAAAATGATTTTAAATATTGTAAAATTTGCTCTTAAACTTCATAACAAAAAAAAAAAGACAACACCCGATATAAACTAGAAGAGCGCCATCTATCGGTTTTACGTTTTAACGTTGCCAGCTATGACGTGTTGAAAAAAATTTCGAAGTGATATTTAATGGATTTTTTGAAATGTCATATGAATCCATAAAGTTTTCATAAAGTCAATATTTATTCCGTTCGAAAGGCATGCAATATTAATATATAATAACGGCTCGTAACGTTCCTCTAATTTTGATACTTATTCCTAGATTTCACGTATTCATAAATAAAACACTTTGTCACATTCGTCTACATTATTTTAAAACTTTAGATTGGATACGTGATACCTGTAATAGAAAATTGTCAAATGACAAAAGTTATTGGATTATGAATTGATCCGTTAATTCTTCGTAAATTAAACCGACAAATTTGGATTGTGTAGGGCTAATTTGGCTAGAAATTTATTTCAAAATATTGATATAAAAACATGAAATCGTGGATATACGAGATTGTTTCTGGACTTGTCATTGTTTGAGAGAAATATTAATTAATATCTGAAAACAATCGCAAAATAAGACTTGATTACATAAATTGTTTTCATTTGAATGTAATACAGTTTTGAATGTTTCCAGAAAATTGATAAATAATGTATAGGCCTATGTGTTTTATTATTATTAAAATCACTTAAAACAATGAATATTTTTTAAATTAAAAAATACAATACATCAATATTCATAACTTAAAAGTCCATCAGTGGCCGAATAGATAGAACTACTGAACACGTAGTTGGTCGTGGGTTCGTGCTTCATCAATGGGTGGGCCATGTGGAGTTTTCCGGATTTCTTTTCCATTTGTAACACCTAAACAGAGGGCCAAATTCCCGTAGAAAGTCCTCCCGGGAGGCATTCCTCTTCGATAGATCGCCCATGTATCGCGTTGCCGTATACAAACAATCCAATCCGGATAATCGTGACTTAAATAGGTTTGTGAAAACCATCATCAAACGAGCGTTTTTGTATCTATGAGTGGCCGGAAGATTCCACTTACAGATTTTCAGTTGTAGCGACGAGTATGGCGACGGTTTCTATGAAAACAATGTTACACGGCATTGCTCTAGCAATTCGTCGTGCCGCTAAAGAAAATTCCGTGGCTTCGAATATTTGCCGTTGTCACTAACACTCACTGCATTCTATAGCCAATAAAGTGATAGCATATATCTGACGTCAGAACAATAGTATCTATCCGGTGCTGAAAAGTGTGACAGTACTGCACTGTATATCTATAATTGGCCGGTATATTAGCGTTTCCAATTGACTTCTTTTGCATAGCCGCCAACGCTACCGCGTTTGATATAATAATGTTCTATTCTTGGCCGCCATCACTCGTGGAAACTTTTTAGTGGAATCAAGGCTTACGGCGTCCGCCTACTACTATGGGATCCAATTCGGACAAGCAACCTAAAGAAATTTTTCGTGGGTATTTTTTCTCCGATATGTCGGGCACGGTCCCTGGTCACCCAGTCCTCCCATTGTGGACCTGCCGAACCCAAGACGGATATAGAAAAAATGACCTTATTATTGTCCACAGGGTATAGTTACTTAACTTAACCGGCAACATTTAAAATGCGTGTGGCGCCATCTGTTATGAATTTTTATTTAAAATATTTTTTTATTTTTAATTATTATAAAATGACATAAAGCTTATTTTTGAGAGTAGTGATGAATTTTATAAAATTATAAATGCTAATAACGAGTAAAATTGTCATTAAGTCCGACCCTACTCGAGATATGACACACGATCCTGTTTTATCTCCCCATCCTCTCAACCTGTAATTACCAAAATTGAATAGCATTATCCCACTAATAAATAAACCGCCCTGAAAAATTTCAGAAATTTTTGACAAAAAGCACAGGAGTTAAGCTTCAAACAGGGTGAATGAAATCATGCCCCCCATATAAACATCCATATATACAGGAAAAAAACTGAATTTTTTGCGGACTTTTTATTAAAATGAATTTTTTGCATTTCTGGACGTTTCAAGATCCCCACTCCAAAGATGTAAAAACTTTGGGGGATCATTTTTTTGACCGATTGCCACATTTCCCTCTGTTATATAAAACAGAGCCAGGAAATTAAAAATGAAGAAAACTTATCATTAGTTCAGCATCATAAATTGTAACTGAAAAATCCTGTTTTATGTTAATAACATACCCCAACATATGTAATAAAAAATTCAGGTTTGGGTCTATATGAATCACCCTGTTTACACTTATTACATAATAAGTATTACCTAAAATGCTAATTATCTATAGAAAAATAATAATTACAGACCTGTAGCCTAGAGAATGTGGTTTTAGCATGTGACTTAGATATATATAGAACTTTCAAACTGGTTTCTCTTATACCAAAAAGCAGATGATCTTATATATCTACATGTATCATATTTTGAGACAAAATTTAATCAGAAATTTTAAGCTTTTGTTGAAACTCTTGTATGTTTGACAAATCAAAGAAAATATTAACATTGGAGAGTGGGCAATTTTTAAAAACCTGGCATATAAGGAACTTGAGGTTTTTAGTATTGGTCATAAATCCATGTTTGTGAAAACTATGCATTAAATGTTATTTCATCCCAAAAAGATGGAGATTTTCTATCTCAGGTTTACAAATTTCCAAAGGCAAAGTGTTGCAACCATGCAATAGGCTAACTTATACAGAATATATTAGACTTCCAGACAACTTGATCTTTCATACAAAAAGGAGTTTCTAATTAAATGTTTTGTCCAATAAAATTAACGTTCCTTTTATTTAAAAATTATGTTTTAATTGGAATAACCATTCAAATTTATTAAGTTAAAACCTGATGATGACTGTTTAAGATGGTTAAAAACATTTGTTTACAATTTTTTTTTTATGCTGGATTTTTGGTGTTAGTGTGTTTATTTTGATGAATTAAAAATATTATGAAGTTTGGTAGTTTTTATGCTTACTAATAGTTTTTTAATAGTTAAGTAAGTTATATACAAAGTTGAACTAGCTAGTGTAGTTAATAGAATGAAGCAAACAATGAACCTTTAACTCTGGATAAGGTTGGAGAAATGCTAGCCAATTTTATCAAACAGCCTTACCAACTGTTAAAAGCAGCCAGATGGCCATGACATTTAAGGCATAGCTTACTGCTCTGAGGACTGGGGATCCAGGCTGAGTGAAGTCCAGAAAATTTTTGTAGGTAAGCCATCCCCATTGTGGGCCTGACCAAACACACAATGGGTGTAGTAAAAAAGCCCTTTTAGTGTCCACAGGGCAAAAAGAATTAAAAAAAAAAAAAAAAAAACCCCCACTATTAAAGCTATATTGATTACTTCCCTGAAATACATACATATTACCTCATAACTGTACATTTTCCCTTCAACAAAACTCTCAATTAAAAACTATGAACATTTATGCAAATACCTAGAGTCCTAGACTAAGTTTAAATTCCAAAAGTAGGATTCCACTGGCAAATAAGAAACATCTTAATAAGTTTAGAAACTTATTTAGATGTTTCTTAACATTTTAAAGTTTAACTTAAGATGTTCTAGAATATCAATCTTAAAATTATTCTTTGTTTTATAATTATTGCATTTTTTTTACAGATCTCATAATGAAAATTCTCATAGTTATACTAATATCAATCTTATTTTACGCTGGAAAGTACGGTATGGTAATTTTCAAAAAATTAAAATTAAATTTACAAAATTCTTATTACCATTCTAAAATGTTTTTGAAAAATATCATTTTCTATAGACTCTCCTTTCTCATTCACATTCATACTGTACTTTCCGGCGTATAAGACGACCGCCAACTTTTACAGTTAAATATAGAGTTTGGGATGTACTCGCCGTATAAGACTACCCCAGCCCGCCCTTGTATCTTATTACCGTACCTCCTCCTCTGCCTCTCAGATCTCGCACATGCACACGCCTGTGCCACTTCACTGCAGTCCTCAGTAACGAGATCTGAGAAGCAGAGAAAGAGGTACGGTAATAGGATACATACAAGGGTGGGCCGGACGGGTGAAACATGCATGTTTTCTGGGCACAGTGCCACTCTATCTCTATCCATACCCCAGGCATCTCGGCTGACTGCAGCACCCGCCCTATAAGACAACATCTGGCATATAAGACGACCCCTGACTTTTGAGAAGATTTTCCTGGGTTAAAAATGTATATGTTAATAAATAGTTATTAACATATACATAACAAACACTCATACATAAAAATAGTTATTTTCATAAATTTAGTTGAACTTTTTATGAAGTTATTCATGCAGTCTGAAGGGTTTTATTGCTATTAATTAATATTGAATTCTAACAAATTTATTTCAGTTTGTCATAAATTTATTAAAATAATTTGAATTCATTATAATAATTATAAATTAAAACATATACTTTTATCAAAATTCAATTTTTATTTTTATCCAGCAATTTTTTCAAATTAGATTTACTTGAGGACTTTTGTGATTCTAATGGTAGTTCTGCTGTTTGTAACTTCATTTTTTTTGAATGATGATCACTACATTTTCTACTCTCAAGTTGAGTATTTTTGTTCTTATAAGAACTAGATGATGAAGTTTTGTTCTTACTTTGTTTATTTGTAATCAAACTTGAACTACGAACAGTATTTAGCATCATTGTATTCAAAAATCTCTTGTTTGTCTTTGGCTTTGTTGGGTTTGCCCAACCAAGTGCTCCTACCATCTCTGCTCGTACTGCTGCTCTTTTTGAATCTCGAAGAAGTTCTTCTCGAGCAAGCTCGTCCAGGGCCTTTTCATCCATTTTAAGATTTTATAATAATTATTTTCACAAAACACCTAAAAGAAAAAAAAAAATGTATACAATTTTTTGAGTCAATAAATATTTATTTGGTTTCCAATTTAATAATTAATTTAAACTTTAACTGCTTTTGAATTATTTGTATGTTAGCGAGGTTGCGGCCGAAGTTTTCATCTCTAAAATGTGAATGTCAAACGTTGAGCGCTGCTATCTTGTAAGCAATGTTCGATGTTCATGTTTTAGAGATGAAAACTTAGGCTGCAACCTCTCTATTAAATATGCAACATAAACATTTAAAACTGATTCAAAAATAATAAATTTGATCACCTTGTAGAAGAGCATTTCAAAATATTTTAAAATTTAAATTTATAGCCTAATTTTTATACAGTATATAAATCATTACAACATTTATTATTACTTTAACTGTAATCAACACACAAACTTTCCAACTCGATAGAATGCCTTTTTTGACTTGGTGTTCTCATTTCAATCTCAAATTTCTACCTTTCCTATTACCGGTTTTAAATCTGACCATTGCGCAATTCAAATTATTTCATTTTCGTATAGAAGTCAAATTTCATGCCTTCACTCCATATAACATTCTTACTATTTTAATTTCCAATTGGTCAACAGTTCAAAGGTCTTCATTGTCTATATGTTTGAGTTCTCTCAATTGGTCATTTCTTCTGAATCCTTCAATTAAACAAAAAACACTAAATATTTATAATTTTTTCTTTCACTCTATTAGGCAGTTCTTAAATTATAAAAAAATAAATCTTAACAGTCAAAAATGGCATACAAGAACACTAAAGAAAATGTGCAATCATATTCAATCTTTATGGCATAGAAGGAAAGAAAATGGTAATCTTTGCTCAGTATACATTTACATTGTTACTTTAAAGCAGTACAGTAATACCCCGAACTTATGCGATAGATGGGACCGAGCAATAACCGCGTAAGTCAAATTCGCATAAGTCGGGGTATAATTTCACATATACAGTGGTACCTCAGGTTACGAACGCCCCAGCATACGAAATTTTCAGGATACGACATGAAATTCGAGCATATTTTTGCTCCACGATACGAACAAAAACTCACCATACGACGTTACATTAGTTCGCATTTTTCATTTGTTTTTCTTACTACAGTTATTTTTTTTAATGTATTACTTGGCTTTAATTTGAGTATGTTTTTCGCGTTGGAACGAATTATTTGGTTTTACATGTAATCGTATGGGAAAAGATGATCCACCTTACGACATTTTCATGATACGATCTCAGTTTCGGAACGGATTAATTTCGTATCCTGAGGTACCACTGTAAATACATACAAATAAGTTTTAATTGGGGCCAGAGACTAAAGAAAACAATAATTTACAAAAATGTTTAATAAAATCTTAGATAATACATATGTATAACAAATTATAGTATTATACAATTTTTTACATTTACTTGATTATCACACCATAATTTTAACATTGTTTCCATCTCAGTGATAATACCGTGACGTTTACGAATGATGCTTGAATTTAAAGGTTGAGCATTTTTTACAGCTTCGAGAATTTTTTCTTTACCTTTTATAATTGTTCTGACCGTCGATTCCGGTAGATCAAACTTCTTTGCCAATTCACAAATTTTCATTTTTGTGTCGAAGTCTTTAATAATGTTAACTTTACATTCCAAAGATAAAGATTTTTCTTTTCTTGTTTGATGCAGAAGAATCAGTTCTACTTCATTTGGATGACATAGTAGAGTTTCTCGAGTCTCCGTAGATATAACGAACACAGAAATAAATAACGCAAAATAAATTGTAGCTATATGTTGATTCCGCACGACACATCCAAATATGTAAGCCGAACAATAGTGTAGGGGAGTGAGCAATCAAGAGTTGCGTGGCCCTCAAACAAAAGACGAATCAACGAGATTTGAAAATCGCGTAACTCTGGGTTCGCGTAAGTTGGGGTAGTGTAAGTCGAGGTATTACTGTATTACAAAGAATGTAAATTAAGTTATCCAAATTGTTACCGATTTTGCTTTTGNCCGCCAACTTTTACAGTTAAATATAGAGTTTGGGATATACTCGCCGTATAAGACTACCCCAGCCTGCCCTTGTATCTTATTACCGTACCTCCTCCTCTGCCTCTCAGATCTCGCACATGCACACGCCTGTGCCACTTCACTGCAGTCCTCAGTAACGAGATCTGAGAAGCAGAGAAAGAGGTACGGTAATAGGATACATACAAGGGTGGGCCGGACGGGTGAAACATGCATGTTTTCTGGGCACAGTGCCACTCTATCTCTATCCATACCCCAGGCATCTCGGCTGACTGCAGCACCCGCCCTATAAGACAACATCTGGCATATAAGACGACCCCTGACTTTTGAGAAGATTTTCCTGGGTTAAAAATGTATATGTTAATAAATAGTTATTAACATATACATAACAAACACTCATACATAAAAATAGTTATTTTCATAAATTTAGTTGAACTTTTTATGAAGTTATTCATGCAGTCTGAAGGGTTTTATTGCTATTAATTAATATTGAATTCTAACAAATTTATTTCAGTTTGTCATAAATTTATTAAAATAATTTGAATTCATTATAATAATTATAAATTAAAACATATACTTTTATCAAAATTCAATTTTTATTTTTATCCAGCAATTTTTTCAAATTAGATTTACTTGAGGACTTTTGTGATTCTAATGGTAGTTCTGCTGTTTGTAACTTCATTTTTTTTGAATGATGATCACTACATTTTCTACTCTCAAGTTGAGTATTTTTGTTCTTATAAGAACTAGATGATGAAGTTTTGTTCTTACTTTGTTTATTTGTAATCAAACTTGAACTACGAACAGTATTTAGCATCATTGTATTCAAAAATCTCTTGTTTGTCTTTGGCTTTGTTGGGTTTGCCCAACCAAGTGCTCCTACCATCTCTGCTCGTACTGCTGCTCTTTTTGAATCTCGAAGAAGTTCTTCTCGAGCAAGCTCGTCCAGGGCCTTTTCATCCATTTTAAGATTTTATAATAATTATTTTCACAAAACACCTAAAAGAAAAAAAAAAATGTATACAATTTTTTGAGTCAATAAATATTTATTTGGTTTCCAATTTAATAATTAATTTAAACTTTAACTGCTTTTGAATTATTTGTATGTTAGCGAGGTTGCGGCCGAAGTTTTCATCTCTAAAATGTGAATGTCAAACGTTGAGCGCTGCTATCTTGTAAGCAATGTTCGATGTTCATGTTTTAGAGATGAAAACTTAGGCTGCAACCTCTCTATTAAATATGCAACATAAACATTTAAAACTGATTCAAAAATAATAAATTTGATCACCTTGTAGAAGAGCATTTCAAAATATTTTAAAATTTAAATTTATAGCCTAATTTTTATACAGTATATAAATCATTACAACATTTATTATTACTTTAACTGTAATCAACACACAAACTTTCCAACTCGATAGAATGCCTTTTTTGACTTGGTGTTCTCATTTCAATCTCAAATTTCTACCTTTCCTATTACCGGTTTTAAATCTGACCATTGCGCAATTCAAATTATTTCATTTTCGTATAGAAGTCAAATTTCATGCCTTCACTCCATATAACATTCTTACTATTTTAATTTCCAATTGGTCAACAGTTCAAAGGTCTTCATTGTCTATATGTTTGAGTTCTCTCAATTGGTCATTTCTTCTGAATCCTTCAATTAAACAAAAAACACTAAATATTTATAATTTTTTCTTTCACTCTATTAGGCAGTTCTTAAATTATAAAAAAATAAATCTTAACAGTCAAAAATGGCATACAAGAACACTAAAGAAAATGTGCAATCATATTCAATCTTTATGGCATAGAAGGAAAGAAAATGGTAATCTTTGCTCAGTATACATTTACATTGTTACTTTAAAGCAGTACAGTAATACCCCGAACTTATGCGATAGATGGGACCGAGCAATAACCGCGTAAGTCAAATTCGCATAAGTCGGGGTATAATTTCACATATACAGTGGTACCTCAGGTTACGAACGCCCCAGCATACGAAATTTTCAGGATACGACATGAAATTCGAGCATATTTTTGCTCCACGATACGAACAAAAACTCACCATACGACGTTACATTAGTTCGCATTTTTCATTTGTTTTTCTTACTACAGTTATTTTTTTTAATGTATTACTTGGCTTTAATTTGAGTATGTTTTTCGCGTTGGAACGAATTATTTGGTTTTACATGTAATCGTATGGGAAAAGATGATCCACCTTACGACATTTTCATGATACGATCTCAGTTTCGGAACGGATTAATTTCGTATCCTGAGGTACCACTGTAAATACATACAAATAAGTTTTAATTGGGGCCAGAGACTAAAGAAAACAATAATTTACAAAAATGTTTAATAAAATCTTAGATAATACATATGTATAACAAATTATAGTATTATACAATTTTTTACATTTACTTGATTATCACACCATAATTTTAACATTGTTTCCATCTCAGTGATAATACCGTGACGTTTACGAATGATGCTTGAATTTAAAGGTTGAGCATTTTTTACAGCTTCGAGAATTTTTTCTTTACCTTTTATAATTGTTCTGACCGTCGATTCCGGTAGATCAAACTTCTTTGCCAATTCACAAATTTTCATTTTCGTATAGAAGTCTTTAATAATGTTAACTTTACATTCCAAAGATAAAGATTTTTCTTTTCTTGTTTGATGCAGAAGAATCAGTTCTACTTCATTTGGATGACATAGTAGAGTTTCTCGAGTCTCCGTAGATATAACGAACACAGAAATAAATAACGCAAAATAAATTGTAGCTATATGTTGATTCCGCACGACACATCCAAATATGTAAGCCGAACAATAGTGTAGGGGAGTGAGCAATCAAGAGTTGCGTGGCCCTCAAACAAAAGACGAATCAACGAGATTTGAAAATCGCGTAACTCTGGGTTCGCGTAAGTTGGGGTAGTGTAAGTCGAGGTATTACTGTATTACAAAGAATGTAAATTAAGTTATCCAAATTGTTACCGATTTTGCTTTTGATCCTAAAATGTTCTGGCTCTTTGTTCCTAAATTCTATAAAAGTACACCCAAAAGTCGTAACAACATTACCGATAATGAGATACAGTATATGTCTATAATCAAACTAAATCACGTTTTTTCCACATAATACCTGAAGCTTAATTTAAACCTTTATGTCCTGGGTTAAACAATAAAAATCTATTAGGTCACACCTCTTCTCAAGCTATATTTGCTTACACAATTCTCCTTGATGTCATAAAATCCATAAATACTTTAATCTATAGTCATGATAATATTCCTACTATTTTTTATAAAAAGCTAGAACCTATTTCTGCCTCTGTTTTTCTTCATTTATTTCCCCTGATACTTGAGTCTGGATTTATACCTACACACTGGTCAATGTCCATCATTTCTAAGTTACCTAAAAAAGAACCTAATTCTTTCCATCCAACATCAATGATTTCAGCCACGCTAAAAATTTTTGAAACATGCCTGTATAGATCCATGTATTATTCAATTACATTTTACCTCTTGTTTCACCAACATTCTGGTATAGACAATTTCTCAACCACTAGTAATTTATTAGATATTCAACATGTAATAAGGAAAAACTTTGAATTAAAACTTCCAATCTATGTAGTCCATATTGATATTTCTAAAGCTTTTGACTCTGTAGCTCCTAATATTCTTCTGGATAAACTATCAACTGAATTTAATATATAATAAACATCTTAACATTTGATGAGTATAATTAGACACAACCAATTGTGAGGAACCAGACCTAATGAATTTTTGAGAGAATTCATTTTTTGTCCTTCAAAAATTTTTCCCATTTTTATTATTGGAGAATGATCACATCTCTCTCCGGAGTCGTTTCCTTTCCCAGGGAACTCATCAGATGTGTCACTGGGAACTACTATCAAAAATTCTTGATTGGTAGAAAAAATAACGTGATTTGCAGGTATAAAAAGGAGTGATTCAAGAACTAGGGGTTGTTGAGAGTTCACGAGGTGCCCTAAAAACAAAAAAAGAAGTGTATTGTGTCCAGGCTACCCGGAATTTCCTATCCTGTGTTTTTTTTGAACTGCCCAGATTAAATCCTCCAGTTCTCTATTGCTTCCTTGACTGCCATCCAAGAAAAAGAAACCCTCAACCGCTCTTGGATTCGTCCTGACTGAGCAAACAACCAAAGTCAGTGATCTGAAAATTCGCACAATTATCAGTGCATCACAGGTATCTACACCAACTCGCGATTTCCTGTAACTCTCTCTCTCTACCGCTATTCGATAACATAGAGCTACGTATTTTTTTTTTGTTTTGTTTTGTTTTTGTTGAATTAAATCAGTTATTTTAGTTGCTAATCTTGTATCTGTGTGAATCACTTCCGATCCGTCTCTCAACCCTCCTCCATCCCGAATCCGATCGGCTGCATACGTAACCGCTCGTGCATATTCTAAATTTGCGGTTTCTCTGTCTATCCTAAAGACACAGAGGTGTCAGTCCTGACGAGGCACTAAAGAGGTGCCGACTCTCTGGTCACATAATGATCGCCTGAATAATCAGGCTAGAATTTGGATAATTAAATTATTACTGTAAAGCAATTTGTCACTAGAGGAAGGCATTAATATAATATAAATAGCATTATTTTAACATGGCTTAATAATTATTTTTTACTTTGCACTTATAAAATCAAAATATGATTTTTATTTTAGTCAATTTTCTCCTCTAATAGGCATTCCACAAAGGTCTATACTCAGCAATTTATTTTTTATAGCTTATATTAACAAACCTCTCTCTAGCATCACTACCTCTTTTATAAATGCATGTGCTGATCACATAAAAATAGCTAATAGTTGCTAACAAACACTACAAAAACATATAAACAAGTCATTTAAATTGCTAAACCTTTTAATAAACTTTAGCAAAACAAAAGTTATTATTTTTAGCCTTGTTACAAACTTTCCCAGTAATAATTTTTTTCTTAATAGCCAGTGTCTAGAGATTGTTAATAGTGTTTGCAATCTCAGGGTCATATTCGATAACAGACTTTCTTTTAACCTACATATAGAAAATCTAATAAAAAAGATATCCATCTGTTGTGGAATGCTTTGGCGAAATTTTAAAAGCATTTCAAATAAAAAAATACACTCAGTGCTATTTTTTTTCACTAATTTCCAATCTTTAACTGATTAAAAATTACCTATATGGGCCTCAGCATTAAATAAACTCAATTTAGAACTAAACAAAATTTTTTCACCCTCAACAAACTATCGCATCTGCCATCCACAAATTCTGTTGTGCGAATCTGTCTTCACCTTCCTAACCTATTTCAACATATAGATTACTTTGATCGTATATCTATACATACAAATATTTTAACAGCCTTCTTCTTGCCCATTATATTGTTATCCACATTCCTACATTTAACAGTAGATTATTAACTTGCATTCATATGCCTTACTGCTACCTGAATGTAATACAGTTGTCCCTCTATAGTCCGACGTTTTTTAATCCGACATGCTCAGTAGTCCGACGCACCTCCCGTCAAGGTATCCGTCCCCGTTACGTGTCTGCTTGCACAGAAGCATGTCGCGATGTGAATCTCCCCATCCAATTCTTACTCGATGACACACATTTCGTGTGTTTTATGTGAGCAGTTCTGTTCGAACAGTTGGAGTAGAGAATATTGTAAGTTACTGCTAGCAAAACAATGCGAAATATGTAATTATTTTCGGTAATCCAGACACTTTTGGCAATCGGACACACCTTTGGTCCCATACCTGTCGGATTATCAAGGGACAACTGTATTTAGAACTTCCTTCTACCGCTATCAAAAAACCACTACTGAAATCAAAGACAGTAATGTTCCTTGACTTCTAAAAATTTAAAGCCATTTGTAATACAATACTTTTCTCCAAATAATAATATTTTTTGTTTTGTTACTTGCACGTTGTTTTCTCATTCTAGATCAGTGGTTCTCAACCT